GCGTTTATTACTGCTTATATACAAGTTTTCAGGTCAGAGGCACACCCCCTGGACCTGGTGGTAAACTGTGACAAAAGGGACACAAACCAATGGGAACACTAATTAACATGATAACACTCTCACATACACAATGAAATCCCTCCTCTCCATCCTGGAGATAATTGGCTTAAGGCACTGCAGTAAACTCAATTATCTCCAGGTACAGAAAATATCTACATTTAACACTAACAGCAAAAATACGTAAAAGTACATAAAAATACATAATTCTTATTTTATTACACAGAACCCCCACATTTAACCTATCCCCAGATAGCTCGGATCTGAGCGCCCAATCTAGGTGAACAATAGACAGGAAACGGGGGAGGGGAAGAAACACACCTTCCCATGGATTCCAATGGGAAGAAACTGTCTTTAGAAGCCAATAAGCCCCAAATAGTCTTTTTTAAATGGCAATACACCCCAGGGCCATAGTCATGAGGAAGGAGGCTGGCAATCAGGCTCCTCCAAAAGCCGGGGGCAAAGGGCAGCTTGTCACCTAACAATCCAGGGACAAAAGGCATTTCGTCACACATCTCCCCTTTGGGGGGGAGACTAACCAGGTACCTGACCTGTGGGTCAGTGCCTGAGTTAGTCGATAAACCCACCCACAGTGAACAAGTACATGAGTAGCCCACCCACAACACACATTTACTGCACCTGGGTATTCCTCTGAGGTCACTGGGTAACACGCTTTGGGTGCTTGGGGGGCAGAGGCCAACTGCGCTCTGCCCCGATGCCAACGCTTCGGCTGGGGCAGCTGGGTTAGGCCATGGCTGGGGAGGGGAAATAGTACTTACCCCCTCCTCCTGGTGTCCCTGCAAGGGTAGTTGGGGATCTGGACAGGCTGTCCAACATCCCTGTAAGTCGGGTGCAGAGACCACGGTCTCCTCTGCACCTTCTGGGAGACTAGTGTCTCCTCTTTGTGGGGTAAGTTGCCACTGGGAAGGAAGGACGGCACCTTCGGCTCCCTGGGATACACACTGCCGCTGGGGAGGAAGGACGGCACCTTCTGCTCCCTGGGGTACACACTGCCGCTGGGGAGGAAGGACGGCACCTTCAGCTCCCTGGGATACACACTGCTGCTGGGGAGGAAGGATGGCACCTTCAGCTCCCTGGGATACATACTGCCATTGGGGAGGAAGGATGGCACCTTCAGCTCCCTTGGTTACACACTGTCCCTGGGGAGGAAGGACGGCACCTTCTGCTCCCTGGGATACACACTGCCGCTGGGGAGGAAGGACGGCACCTTCAGCTCCCTGGGATACACACTGCCGCTGTGGAGGAAGGATGGCACCTTCAGCTCCCTGGAATACATACTGCCGCTGGGGAGGAAGGACGGCACCTTCAGCTCCCTGGGATACATACTGCCGCTGGGGAGAGAGACCGGTTGTCTCTTCTCCCTTGTCAACACACTGCCGCTTGGGAGTCAGACCGACTGTCTCGACTCCCAGTGATGATGGTTGCTGCAGGGACGAGGGACCGACAATCTCCTCTCCCTGGGATGCTGTCTGCCGCTGGGTAGAGAGACTGGTTGTCTCTTCTCCCTTGACAACACACTGCCGCTGGGGAGTCAGACCGACTGTCTCGACTCCCAGTGATGATGGTTGTTGCAGGGACGAGGGACCGACAATCTCCTCGCCCTGGGATGCTGTCTGCCACTGGGGAGAGAGATCAATTGGCCACAGCCCCAATCTCCGCAATCGGAGCTCAAATTCCCATGCCGCTCGATTCTCCTCATCCAACTTGCGCATGGTTGCCAGAATCGCCTCTGTCGAAAGATTCGGGCCATATCTGGTTAACCGCCTCTTGACCTCCTCCCTGTAAGCGTTGCCCTCAAAGCGATGGGTCATGTTTGCTGTGAACAGGGGCGCTGTACGAATACTAGCGTTGCCCTCAAATTGTAATTCCAAATGTTACTGGTGCCTCTGCGCTGCTTCTCCTCGCACTAGGACGCCATCCCACCGCTGCCACCGCTGCCACCACTGTAACGGAACCGCTGGCACCCCGACCGGGTACCTTCCGCCGACGGATGCTCCTAGTGCTTTCCGAGGACTCCAAGCACTCTGCCTGACACCATAACCACTGCAGACCCCACGAACCGCCGCAGCTTGGTTGGGGTCTCGCCGTCTCCACCCACTCTGGACCCAGGACCAGGGTTCAGCTTCCAACAGGTCGACCTCTCTCCCAATTCCAGAGAGCAGGAACAGAAACAAGCTCTTAGCAGAGCTTAGTGATTATACCCTGGGGAGTATAGTGATTATAGCAATCCCCAGAGTGTAGTTTCTCCAATCCCCCAAACATGAGCCGAAACCTCATGAAGGTACAAGATGATCTGACTCCAATGAGCGTTTATTACTCCTTATATACAAGTTTTCAGGTCAGAGGCACACCCCCTGGACCTGGTGGTAAACTGTGACAAAAGGGACACAAACCAATGGGAAGATAATTGGCTTAAGGCACTGCAGTAAACTCAATTATCTCCAGGTACAGAAAATATCTACATTTAACACTAACAGCAAAATACGTAAAAATACATAAAAATACATAATTCTTATTATATTACACAGAAACCCCACATTTAACCTATCCCCAGATAGCTCGGATCTGAGCGCCCAATCTAGGTGAACAGGAAACGGGGGAGGGGAAGAAACACACCTTCCCATGGATTCCAATGGGAAGAAACTGTCTTTAAAAGCCAATAAGCCCCAAATAGTCTTTTTAAATGGCAATACACCCCAGGGCCATAGTCATGAGGAAGGAGGCTGGCAATCAGGCTCCTCCAAAAACCGGGGGCAAAGGGCAGCTTGTCACCTAACAATCCAGGGACAAAAGGCATTTCGTCACAACAAGTATGTCCCATCGAGGCCCCTAGGCTCTGCCAAAGACCTACGTAAATCCTCTGTCCGTACTCCCACCTCTAACACTCGCCTCCGAGACTTTTCCAGGGCTGCACCTCTTCTGTGGAACTCCCTTCCCTTCTCCGTAAGACTTTCACCCAGTCTCCATCATTCAAAAAATCATTGAAAACTCACTTCTTCAAGAAAGCATTTCAATTAAACTGTTAGCAGGTTTTATCCCCCACCCTCCATGACTCCTCTCCTGCAACTGTCAAAAATGACAAACTAAGCCCTCAGTTAATACTTTTCTAACAACCTACTTCGTACCCCTACTTTTACCCTCTGTGTCACTATACCCCACTCCCTCTAGAATGTAAGCTCATTGAGCCGGGCCCTCCACCCCTCTGTTCCTGTACGTCCAGTTGTCTGGTTACAATTACCTGTATGTTAGTCCACCCATTGTACAGCGCCACGGAATTTGATGGCGCTATATAAATAATAAAATAATAATAAAATAATAATAATACATGTGTACTCGATGTAGAAATTAGAGAATGACTCACTTTCCCTCTGTTCCAGTGTCGCCATCTCATTCTTTGTGGGTGTTACTGTTTGTGTAACACACCTCACTCCTCCCCTGTTCTCCTTTGATTTGCCTTGCTTGAGACGCTTCCCCAAGCAGGACAAACCTCGCCAGTGATGCATTGCCAGTATGCTGGTGTCATAATGGAGTGAGGTCACGTCACTCCGTTCCTAGACTCCTTAGTGGCGCTAGAAAAGCAACTGTAGCTCAACTGAAGGAGGCTCAAGCTGCCAGGAGAACTACCTCGGCGTAGGATCACAGGTAAGTTGTTCTTTTTCTTTTTTGTTTCTTTATTATTTTTCTATTTGAGTTTTCCATAGTTTTTTTGGTTGGAGTAATCCTTTAATAGTGCAAATGCAACAATGTATGTACAGACGTGACTGGCATCACTACCCAATTCTATGTAGTAATAGATCTAAACTGACTACTGATTGTGGTCATTCAGATTGGAAATAGAGCGTTCATGAAAGGTTGGTGGATATTTGTTATACATTGGATGCATTGCCACACAAACACAAACCATTCTACAGGCTCAAAATCAACTACATTCCCTCTTTGTTAGAATCTAAAAGATACAAAAGAAATATAATTCAGTGTAAAACTACATTTAAGAAATGTTAGACGTGAGAAATTAAATTCTGCAAAACTGAGGAATTCAGCAAAAAGGTAGAAAGGAATAATGCATACCGGCCTGGAGCATATAACTCGATTTCCAACTCCTAATTATTTTATTTATCACCTGTAAATGTCCTCTAAAACTGTTTTTGTAGCTTATTTGCATATTCATTAATAAGGAAATGCACAAATTATAAAGTGAAACCAGATTTGTGTAATTGTTTAGCAGTGAGAGAGGTGTTGTGATATTTATTGGAGCGGAGGAAGTTAACTGACGATGGTCCTGTTTCTCTAGAATGGACATTCGGTTCACATATATTCAGTTCCGTGACTCAATCAAGATAAAATGATCATAAAAGACAGGAGCCCATATCGGACTACCTTGATTAGATATATGGTGCTGGTAAACATGCACAGGGATATTCATTGAAGTAGGAATTTAATGAATTCTAAAATTAAGGTCAAAGTAGTCACACTGGAAACCCTCTCTAAATCAGCGATGCTTTCAGTTTGTCTAGTCTGGCCTTAAATGTGAAATTCACTGCCCAGGAGTGAGAGCTGACTGCGAGGCCTAAACGACACAGTGATCCACTAGCTTTGCATTTTTCATGCTCTTGGGTCAATTCCACCTAATCACAGGTATCACATGTTCACCCCATCTGTCATCTAGGCAGCACATTCTGCTTCTTTCTCTAGATAGTCCTTCTGCTGAAATACTAGACATGTCCTCCTGTCCGTTACTGAAATACTAGACATGTCCTCCTGTCCCGTACTGAAATACTAGACATGTTCTCCTGTCCCGTACTGAAATACTAGACATGTCCTCCTGCCCCCTACTGAAATACTAGACATGTCCTCCGGTTCCGTACTGAAATACTAGACATGTCCTCCTGTCCTGTACTGAAATACTAGACATGTCCTCCTGTCCCGTACTGAAATACTAGACATGTCCTCCAGCCCCGTACTGAAATACTAGACATGTCCTCCTACCCCGTATTGAAATACTAGACATGTCCTCCTGCCCCGTACTGAAATACTAGACATGTCCCCCTGCCCTGTACTGAAATACTAAACATGTCCTCCTGCCCCGTACTGAAATACTAGACATGTCCTCCTGCCCCGTTCTGAAGTACTAGACATGTCCTCCAGCCCCGTACTGAAATACTAGACATGTTCTCCTGCCCCTGTACTGAAATACTAGACATGTCCTCCTGCCCC